TTGAAGCTTCATTGATGAACATTGTTCACTTACCAAATCAAATGGTGAGACTAGTGTAGTAGCGCTTGTGATGCCGTACAACACATATATTCGTTGCAGGTTTACAATTCGAGGATTTTCTCAACTCATGTATACAATCTTTCTCAACAACAGCCACATTATCATCAGTGTTATAATCACTTTCTACGATAGTAAACATAGGTAACAATTCAGTCTCAAGAGCCATGTTTCGTCTGAAAACATCAATTTACGTTCCTAACTCAACAATGTAGAAGAACTTCCTCTTTTTCCAAATAACAATATGCAAAAGACAAACAAAACACTAACCTCAACATATTACTGCAACAGACTAAAATCTTGCTTGGTGGTGGAGTGAATGACGGTGGACGTCGCCTGCAATCAATTTCAGTTTTCATCTCCAACTCCAACCCACAAAAAACCATACACCCATAAACAAACACATCTAAAAGCACACACAAATAAACACCAAAATGAAAGCCCAATAAATCATTTTCAAAAATGACAAAGACAACAAATGCAACCACAGAAATCAGATTCACTTACGTATGGGTAGTGCTCGGCAGTCAACGGCCGACAGAGAGGACCGACTTTCAGGGATTTAAGGACTTCGGTGAGGGAGAGGAGTTCACCGACGGTGGTGGATTTCGCCACAGAGAGGACCGACTTTCAGGGATTTAGGGACTTCTTTTCATCTTCCTTTCCTTCATGGCATTTTGGGTCACTGCCGGTGGTCGCTTTCGTCACAGCGACGAGTCACTTTTAGAGATTTACGGATTTCGATTTATCTTCCTTTCGTTCAGGGCATATGGGGTTCGCCGACGGTCGTCTATTTCGTGAGAGAGAGGGCTGAATTTTAGGAATTCAGTTTTCTCATTTCCTTAACAGGATTTCTCTTCTTCGAATGGGGGTAGGGGAGGGGAGGAATGGAACTTGCATTTTAGTTTTTGCTCTGCATATTTTTCTTCAATAATTCAATTTCATCTGACAATCTTTCATAGTTTTGTACAATTTGTTTGATTGGTCAAATCAAAATTTCATTAGGATATGTTGGGTATTTATATTTAGCTTTAAGGCCAAATATGTCTAAAATTGTCTACAATTGACATTCTTGCAATGTCAAAAAATAAGTGATATTTTTGTAAATACAAAGGAAAAAGTTGACTATTTTGATAATTTCCTCTTGTTTTATTTACTTTATGCAAATCGGCAATTCAACATAGAAATTAATTGGACTATATGTTTAATCACCTAGACAATTAATTAAAGTGACGTGTTGCTTTGATTAATCAATTCCGCAGTGAGATCAAATAATAAATTGATTAGAAGTTAAACTTGATAATATCTAAAACTTGAATTTGACGTAACATAACGTTTTCCGTGAATTTTCAAGTGGTTGTAGAATGTTCCTTGAACTTTCAAATTTTATCATTCTCGACAGATGGTTGCGAAGTAGAAAATTTGACTACAAAAAAGTGTATAAGGGACATGCTGTTCTCGAACACATTCTCAATTTACATTATTATTAGCATTTTATTATCATTTGCAAACATTGCATAACATCCTGACAGTTAAATTATCGGTCCCAACATGAGGTTTTTGTCATTCTCGACAGTTGGTTGCGAGCAGAAAATGTAACTACAAATAAGATGCACAAGGGTAAGCTGTTGCATAACATTTGGTAAAGATGTTACTATATTTATCTCTGACAAAATTATAATACATAACTTAACAAATTTTCTCGTGCTAATTGAACAATCCAACGAGTATGAGAAACGAGAAATGGTAAAATATGTCACCACATGTGGATGCAACCAATGAATCATGTTTATAACCACGTTCTTGGAGATAAGCAAAATGAGGACATTGATTACACAAATCAATTTTAATGTAGTATTAACAGATTTGGTCACACTATTTCTTTATTCTTTTTTCCTCTCCTTGGTGTATGGTGTCTTAGTAGATGCTGCAGAAAATCGAATGTGTGTTGATCATTGCTCTTTGTGTTAACAACATCGTTACTTTCGATGGGTATGGTGGCCACCTCCGTCATGCTACAAGTTGCGGGAACTTTCTCGTTGTTCGGGCATGACACTTTGAGCTCTATGTGTCATCCATCTATTTGAAAACAATATTTGCAACACTAATCGACATGAGTTCATTATTTCTAGTTTGCAAATTACGGAATGAGATGAGAGTATTTAAAATTTTGAATTTCTCATAATTAACACATATACCGTTCGTCTCTTAGTTCTCACTAGGCAATAGATCCTCATGATTATCGGAGAACGGGTTGATGTATCCTCCATCTAATTGAAAACAATAATTACAATATCAATGGACATGAATTCAATATTCTAGTTTGCATATTACGAAATGATACGAGTATATTTAAAATTTTGAATTTTTTAGATGTTAATGCTAAACACACGTATAAGAAATCAAAAAACAAACTATAATGTTCGAGAATTACTGCTTTTAACTCCAAGAATGACAGTTTATATCGAAAGATAACTCATCTGCCGAGAATAACTTAAACGAATTGTCGGGAACGACAATTTATCGTGACAGATGGGTTACATAACTAATCTTTCGAGAAGTTCTTGTGTCGTAAATTCATAACTGTACAAACTTCCATTGTGACAAATTAAACAGTATGTTTAGAAGATTCGATACCCTTGACTAACCTAGAAAAATATAATAAATAAGGTAGTTTGAAATGACAAGTATAATACAATAATCAACTTTCACAAACCAAACAAATTCAGAGAAATATGAAGTAAAAAATTGATTGTGAAATATATTTTTTTAGAAAAATATAAAAAGAAAATTCATACATAATACCCAAAAAATTAGAAAAAATCAAAATACCCAAAAAAATAAAAAATAAACTCCAAAAAAAATGGAGAAATCCAAATTACCTGTAAATGTAAACTCTAAACAAAGCCGACCCAAAACAGAGAACAATCTAAAGAAAAATCTAACTCATGGTCTAGATGTAGGAAATTCAAAATTGATTGTGCAATCTAAAAGAAAGCCAAAAAAATAAAATAAAATGAACATTAATAAAAAACTTGAAACAAAACCTTCAATCAATCTAAAAAAACCCATATATCTGAAACCTTACCTACGATATTCTTGATACTCTTCTTCCTTTTGTATTGACGTAATAAACGGGATCTTAATCCAAGAACTTGTACTCCATATAGTTTTCAAAGAATCAAGAGAGGAAACATATAAAAGATAAAAAGAGGAATTTTGCAAAGAAACTTACTAAAGAGATAAAAATGAATGAGCTAAAAGTTAATAAATTAATGCAAGAACTTGCACTCCATATATATATTGTAAGGATTTTGAAGTACAATTTTGAGGTGATTGATTGTCACATTTTCTCCACTTTTTGTACAACTTTTATGTTGTCAACTCAAGGATGTGTAGGGTATTTGAGTTTTTAAAAGAGGCAAAAATGTCCAAAATTGACAATCTTGAAAAGATTTTTAAAAAGTGACATTTTTGTAAATGCAAAGCTAAAAGTTGACTATTTTACTAATTTCCTCTTATTTTTAAAGTTAAAGTGGAAATTACAAAAATAATCAACTTTTGGCTTTACATTTACAAAAATGTCACTTTTTAAAAATCTTTGCAAGATTGTCAATTTTGGACATTTTCCCTCCTCTTGATAATTCAAATAGCCTACCTGTTCTTCATTAAAAATTAATTTGACTAGATGAAAAAATGGTACAAAAAGTTTTAAAAAAATAGTAAACAGCTCAAAAGTAGTAAAATGGTACAAATAGTGTGTGTGCACGCACGCGCTCATATGTATATATATACACTAAAAAGATAAAAATCCTCCCATTCTCTCTTTCATTCCCTAAACTTAAATAGCTTAATTTCATTTCTCATTTCCTCTCGCTCAAGGCTGTCACCGCCGACGTTAAAATCCTCCATTTTTGTTTAAACTTGAAGCCAAATGATTGTTAATTAGTCTACTGTCAACGAAGATCACTATTAATCTCTTGAGGTTTTATTTTCCATTATCTAAAATATAGAAAACAAATCATCACATCAAACCATTAATTGCATTCAAATCAAGTATTTATTACTCCTAAAAATGTGTAATAAACGATAAAATGGATCTTTCACAACAAAAAAGTGACATTTTTGCAAGAATTTGGTGCAAATAGACATTTTAGGGAAACTTTCAAATTTGGTGACAGCTATGAAAATCCCCTAAAAATTGGACCCCCTCAATTAAACTACAAAATCTTTATTCTAATTAAATAAATAAAATATGAAAATCAAATCAAGTCTGTCACTTACCTTTATTCTTGCACTGCATCTTCTATTTAAGTCAGAGAAAATTCATCCTCGAATCTTGTACAATCTACGTACACGTCACCCATACAAATGCTCCCAAGGAAAATATTAAAAAGTTCATCGAACAATGGTCGAATTGTCATTAGCACTACATAATGTGTTGAAATATAGCTATGTGATTTGCCCCCCGGAATAGAGCCCAATGGTGCAAAAGATAGGAGTGAAGTTATCTCATGCCTTGTTGATAGTCGCAGTGTGAGGGTCTGATTCCTGAAATATGGAATTGGACTTCTTTGTAGGCGCAGTATACATGAAGTTCATATTCCTTGACCTGTTGGGACACATCCCGCGATTTACCTCCCTCACAAAGTTCTAGAGTCAGGCCGATGTGGATTTTCAAGGTTGGAGTTCAACTTTTTTTTTTTTTTTTTTTTTTTTTAAATATAGCTATGTGATTCCACACTCAATATCTACTCTGAACCCTGATTTGTAAAGCTGCAAGTGAATGCATCAAGCCATTATGTTATGTAGTTTGCCTTGAAAACTAATTTTATGCGTAGCAATTAAAACGAAAACACAGAAAACTTGAGAATAACTCATCACTAATATACTTTATGCCAACTTGGTTCATACGTTAAAAATAAATTAAATAAATGAATGAATGAATCTCAAAGACAGTGCTTTATTAGCTACTTTATACAAAGAATTTCCCACAAAGCTAATCAAAAAATGATTATGTGCAACAATAATTTCGATGTACTTTTCTTATCATTTAACGTTTAGTGCTTAGGTCTGATCTCAATGCCTTCGACAAGAAGGCCCCCTTTGAGGTGCTGTCCCTTGACCTCTTTGAAGCTCATTTTCACCTCTCTATCCTCGGCATCACAATAGAATTCACCCAGTTCAACTTCTAACCATCCATCGTCACGCATATGAAGAATGCATTCTTCATCTTCACAATCACTTGATCCATCAATTTTGTGTTCCTTAAAATCACGCTCCATATAGTGTTTTTTACACTCATTGATGCCTCTTAAATAAGTTACTCTTGTTGATTTGTAATCATCGAGTTCAATTGAAACCTCAGATGGAAGCAAATCTAACCCAAATGCACGATTTGCAAGTTTAACAACGAGGTAGGCTCCATATGTTGTATTTTTTGATAACATTCGAGTGTTGATTTCACCATATATCTCAAGCCACCATATCATTATAAGCTCCACTCCTTTAGAAAATCTGGCGAAATCAAATATTTAAAATTCGATATGAAAATAATTCCACCATCAAACTTTATTTCCATGAAATTTGAAGTCTACTATTTAAAACTCTTTTCTTTATTATATTCGACCCCAAAAATTCAATTCTTAAAAAAAAATAAAAATAATAATAATAATAATAATAATAAAAATAGAAACACTATGATAACTTATTAATACTCGATATTTCATCTTACACTGTCTAACTTATTAAAAGGAGTAATACAAATCCTAATATATTGGCATATATTTTATGTGAGATTTATACTTTAATGTCCCCATAAGATGGTGGCTAGTTTGAGTTAGCCAATTTTGATATTCGTGTGCTTGTTTGAATTTTAATCGGAACAAATTGTTCAAATTAGATTGGTTCTAATACCTATTTTATGTAAAAATAAAAAAAGTTTTGAAATATTATTTTTTAGAGAATGCGTGGTTAAAAAGTAGGGAAAAAAGTTTTGAGTTTATGTATAAAATTATTTTATTGAAGGAAATATATAAATTTGGTAAAAAAATGAATTTTTAGAGAATAGGCGGGGCTAAAAACTTGAGCTCCATTGTAGAAAGTCAAGTTTATTAAGGGGAGTAGAAAAGCCCTTATACATTGATCTATATCTCAGATCTGTGATTTTTATCCTTCAACAGAACTTGAAGAATGAAAGAGATACCTTGAGTGAGGAAGAGGTTTCCAGCACCAGCAAAGAGGATCGCTTGCCCAAGTAATTGATAATTCTCTTGCACTCAACATGTAGCATTTCTTATTTGTATATTTATCAATCGCAAATGTCTGCATTGCAACAAATCAAAATAAATATTATAATTTATTTGCGAGCATATATAGCACTAAATCCATAAAATGATAGCATGATTTTCAGGATATATTTAAGTATACTGTTTTTTTTTTACCTTGTTACCACCATCAATGAGAAGAGGAGCAGAAAGCTTGAAAAACAGATCCTTTTTGGAAGAAAACTCCATAGGGGAAACCAAATTTGAAACAATATCACGATAATCATAAGGTAAGAATTTATCCCACACAAGGTCCGATTCGGCTGCATTGTGAAACATAGTAGATAGAGTCGAAGATTTACACGCGTTAATAGGTGTTGTAAATGAGATAACTTGAGCAAGACAGTCTTCCGGTAGGTCGTGGATTGATGTTTCTGCCATGGATTAATTTTCGTGCCACAAGAGATCGAAGAAATTTGGAATGCTTGTTTGGAAATGAATGCTAATATAGTAATATTGCATGGTCTATATAATAATATATATATATATATATAGAGAGAGAGAGTTGGCTATGTGATAAGTGTCTTTAATAATGTTCGGACATGAATTCAATATAAGACGGCGTCCATATTGTGTGCTGTGTGCTGTGTACTGTTGGACTTCAACTGGCGGAATAGCTTTTCGTTCAAGGTCAATTACTTGACAATGCGAGGGGGGTTTATATATTTGAAAATACTATGTTCCCTTCGCCCTTATTAAATTACATTAAGGGTGTGTTTGATTACATTTATTTTCCATGGAAAATATCAGTTTTCCATCCAAATTTTCACTTTGAGTGTTTGATTGCTATTTTTTTCCATGGAAAACATTTTCCAACTTTAGAAAATATGCCTAATTTTCCTTGTTTTTAAGGAAAATATTTTCCTTGGGTAGAGGTGGTTTTTATTTTCCACAAAAGATGGAAAATATTTTCTTTTCTAGGTAATATTTTCCATGTCAATCAAACACACCCTTAGATATGCCTAATTAAATTTTATTTTTCTTTCTCATATTTTCAACCATAAATCTTCCATAAAATAATATTACACGTAAATCGAAAACTTTTACTTTTTTTTCAACCACTTATTTTTCAAAAAAACGATATTCCATGCATTTTCATTTCTATAAAATGGGGGTCAAACAAGGGCTATATTTATAGGTTGTTTGGAACATTTTTTTTTTAAATGCATTCTGTAATAGCTTTATGGTAGAAAATGTGTGGTTAAAAAACAAGGTAAAATTTTGAATTTACATGTAATATTATTTTATTGAAAAATGTGTTGTTGAAATTGTGTCAAACTACTATTCAATAATACATTTTGATGGAAAAAATGGGCCAAACAAGGGCTTATATTTATAACTAACTAATATACACACACACATACTTATTGAAGAGGTTAGTCGACTCGACCTGACGGTAATGACTCGATTCAGCTCATGTATTCGAGCTTAGCTCGTGTTCATAAATAAGGCTCGGCTCTTAGAGTTTGAAGCGTGTGGACATGAGTTGATCAAGTCGGCGCATGAGCCGACTCTTTTTTTTTATTTTCTTTATAAAATTAATAAATAAGCCAAAAAAAAAATTATAAGTAATACTTGTACATATTGACTCCAATTTGGACAGTCAAAAATTGCCCATGTCCCTTGAATGTAAGCGCATGGTTGCTAGTTACTTTTTCCCTTTATTTGAATTTGAGCAAATTATAGAATTCCTCACACTAAGGCCCCGTTTGGTAGAGATTTTTTGCCCTAAAAAATTAATTTTTTGACCGTTATTTTACTATTCAAGCCGTAATTTTTGACTTCTTCTCTCACATGTGGACCCCACTTTTCTTCTAACGATCAAAAAATCAATTCTCAAAATCCCTACCAAACGGGCCCTAAATCAATCTCTCCTATCAATTCTTATCTAACAAGTGATATCCCATTTCAAATAACGTGTTTTTATTCATCAACAAAACTAGAATCACGCATTTATATAATAAAATATTTTACATGTAAATTCGAAAATTTTCTCTACTTTTTAACCACACTCTCTCCTAAAAACCATTGTTCAAAATATGTTTCTTTTTCCAATTTAATGATTGCCAAACAGGGGAGATGGAAGATCTCATAAACTCCATTCTAGAGTAAAATATGCTGAGGTAGTTAACTATTATATTGATGCTCATTTCCTTTCAAAAGTTACAAAAAATCTTCTATGCAGCCAATATCAAATATATATGGATTAAATCCACCAATAGTCACCTAACTTTATACTTTGTGTTATCATGGCCACTATTTTGATTTTGTTTCACCCTGGTTACCCAACATTAATTTAGTGTCATCATGATCACCTAATTTGATTTTATTTTATCATGATCGCCCAATTTCATATAATGTTTCACTATGACCAACTAACTTATTTTCATCATTTTCACTATTTTTGAAAGGAGTAAAATAATAACTTTGCATTTTTACCTTTGCATTATATATAAAAAAATCAATTTAAAAAGATAAAAGTTTATTTCTATTTTAAATTTTAAAATAAGTTTTTATTTTATTTTATTTTCTAAGTAATATTTTTTAAAATAACTTTTTATTTTATTTTATTTTCTAAAGGAACCTTTTTTTAAAAATATATATATTTTTTATTTTTCTAAGTAACGTTTTCGTTTTCAAAATAAGTTTTTATTTCATTTTAATACATTTTTTTAAAATAATTTTTTTAAGTAATATTTTTTAAATAAGTTTTGAATGGAGTCGAGGAGATAAGGTACTTTGTTCTAGCAGAAAATGTTAAGAAAGTGCGAAAAAAAGTCTTATGTCAACTAGACATAGGGTAGATAATTGCATATTACAGTTTGAACTACTCCACCTTATAAGTTAACCTTTTATGATAGAACTCCGAAAATGGATAAATATTTACGATAAAGTCAATACACTTAGCTAATAACAAAAAGTCATAAGATAACGAGGGGGAAAAACAAATGGTGAAATCTTATATCAATTTAATTTATTTTAAATAAATGTATCACTTGCAGTGGCTTGAAACTTTTAACTATCATTAATGCCTCTAACTTGTGGATTTCAATGGGAATATTGTTGCATAAATTGTTCCTTAATTATCTCAAATTTTCGGACGACCTTTTCTTATTTCTTTAAATAATTATTTTTTTGGGGTTTTGCTGTAGTTGTAGTCAAAATCGGCTGCAAGAAAGGTTCTAACGAGGGGAGTAAATTTGGATAAACTTTACTCATTTTGATATTACCGGATCTTATTCTAAAAATAAGTATGCTATTTTAAAGTTCATGAAATGGTTCAAATACTTTTATTAATTTAACTAAATCACAACTTATATCCTGATCTTCTATTGAAAACATTGAATTATTAAATAATATTATTTCAATTCTTAAAATTTTAAGATACTCTTGTTCGTCAAATTAGTTAAGAATACTAAAATATTATATTCATCATTTAAGAATTTGGAATTAGTTGTTAATAGTTAATAAATTTTTTTTGAAAATGATAGAAACAAAGATGCATACACCAGGCGACAGGGCCAGACCTAGCCTTTTAGTGTTGTGGGGTCAAAATATTAAATATAATTTTTTAAAAAACCACATAATATTAATGAAAATAAATTAATATGCATTTTGATACTTTGAAAACGTGGTATAATTACATCATTATTAATATTATTACATAAATTTTGTTACTTGTATAACTTTTGTTTACCATTTTGTTGACAAATGCTAAGCTAACGGTGAGTAAATTAAACTGAATATAGAAAGTAAATGAATTTAAATAAAATTCAAATTTAATCCAGGAAGTAAATAAAATTCAAATTTAAAGCAAATGTAATTCGAAAGTAATTCAAATTACATTAATTCGTAACGATCATAAAATTTTTTACGTTATATTTCATGTAAGACTTCCAAATGAAATTATATAAATTATATTGAAAAATTTATCATGAAAAAATAATAAACACTAATGAAATAATTGAATTGTTTAAAAGAATTGACGAGTTAGACTTTTTTTAGACATAAGTTTGATGCATATTCAACTATTTTCGATATCCATTTGAATCATTCGATATGACAACGATGTAGTTTTTGAAACGAGCTTCTATATAACATAGATGATTTGTGGATTTGGATAGAATATGATCGCAGACGAATTTTTAAAGTTAGGATATTATCAAATTCTCAAAATACTAGTTTCAAATGGTCTACTTTGACATGTCATAACTTTTGCTATAATTGATTACTTGCACGCCATTAATGAGTGAAAAACTAGGTTATGAGCACTTCGAAATGATATTAAAAATACAATATTTTGATTTCATTTGACATCTCATAACGATTGCATCAAAGTAGATTGTAAAAGAAAAATAAAAATAAAAATAAAAATAAAAATAATTACAGGGTTAAAATTTTGTGAGGTCATTTGACCCCACATGACCCCATGTGGGTCCGCCCCTGCTAGGCGAGCCGCCTTGAGCTCGCTTTTGGGACTAGCCGAGCATGAGCCAACTTGTTCGCCTTGCAAGCTGCCCACCCCCATCAGCTCGCTCATGGTGGGCAAGCCATAGCAGGTATAAATTATATGAGTAGGATTTATATATGAATTGGTTGACCTAATTATTTGGAAGCAAAATTTTATTTCAATTTAAAAATAATAGAAAAAATTAATTGACTAGAAAATGGTGTAATCATTAGTCAAAGGAGGACCGATAACGAAACATTTTCCTTTAGTCTAATTATATTGCCACTACGATATTTGTTTGGTTCATCACATTTTAAAGTATTTTTTTCTATTTACTAATATGACCATAACTAAAGTTACAAAAAATAACCCTACTTTTAAACCTTTTTTTTAAATAAAATATTTTTTATTTGTTCCACCAAAATCATTTATTTTGCTATTATTTTCTCGTGTTTGGATTCAGAGCATATAATTTATTTTGAAGTGAAGTCTATTATGAATCAGTTGGATGAATAACAATAATTCAGGCAAATAGTGAAATTAGATTTGATTGCCGTAAACCTTTTATAAAGTATTTTTTTTTTCGATAATTATTCAACCGTTTCATCACTCTAAAGATCTTTTATAAAGTTGCATAAATCAAATTTCAAAATAATCTATATGATATTTCACTGTTTCCTTTTTTATTTTCCTCATTTCTTACGGCTTTTTGTTATTCAATTTAGATGAGTGCATTCTCTTTTGCTTAAAACATTTATATTATTGGGACTTGGAGTTCCATCATAAAAATTTAACTTATGTAGCGTATTATCTCAAAATGTAATACAATTATCTACCCTATGTCTAGCATTTATATAAGACTTTATTCGCACTTTCTCAAATTCAGAGGGGATTAAAATAAGATTTCTAGCATATTTTGTTAAAAGTTGATTTTAGTTGAAAAGTTATGAGTCCTATAAAATATGTGATTAAAAATAAAAATAA